CCCAAAAATAAATAAATGTTGAAAAAAATAAATAAATAAATAAAGGGAGCACTGCCTGTGGGGACAGCGGTGGGGGCGGGGTACTTTCTGGAGCAAAGGCAGGACACGTGGTCTCAGACCGGCCCAGGAAGTATGGTGCTGAGGTTGCACTACCCCAGGGAAGGCACCCGCTGTGAGTGTTGACCCTTCCCGCGCAGATCTCAGATCTCGCCTCTCTGGCTTCGGGCAGCATCGTGTCCAGCTGGCGTCTGCCCTCCTACTCACATCTCACTCTACTTCCTATTTGGCTGAATCATGTCGGAAGACTCCTGTCTATACTGCAAAACCCCCTCTGAAACAATCACCACTCCTGAAATAGTGGCGGAAAACCTGAAAGCGAATATCTAGTTTTCACTCAGGAAGAATTTCATTTCATCTTATGCAGCATTGGTTGTTTCCATCATCATCGGAATGTATAGTTCTCCTAATGTTCTGGGGTTCTTCTCCTGACCAGTGGTGATCAGGTAAATACATAAGGAAAGGGCCACGCTCTGAGGGAGCTGGTCGAGTTAAGGCCGTATAAATATTTAGGGCCGAGTATCTGTCCTGTCTGCCCCTACTAGGCCCAGTAACGTTGTCTTCCAGCTGAGTCATTATCGAAAGGCAGGCAGTAGAAGAAAGAAGGGTCAGGGACGCCTGGGCGGCTCAGTGGGTTAGCCATCTGACTCCGGCTCAGGTCATGATCTCATAGTCCATGAGTTTGAGCCCTGCATCAGGCTCTGTGCTAACAGCTGGAGCCTGGGGCCTGTTTTGGATTCTGTGTCTCCCCCTCTCTCTCTGCCCCTCCCCTGCTCACACACTCGCTCTCTCTCTCTCAAAAATAAATAAACATTACAAAAATTAAAAAAAGAAAGAAAGGTCATACAAGGGGCGCCTGGGCGGCTCAGCCGGTTGAGCCTCCGACTTTGGCTCAGGTCATGATCTCACAGCTCGTGAGTTTCAGCCCCACGTTGGGCTCTGTGCTGACAGCTCGGAACCTGGATCCTGTTTCAGATTCTGTGTCTCCCTCTCTCTCTGCCCCTCCCCCGCTTGTGCTCTGTCTCTCAAAAATGAATAAATGTAAAAAAAAAAAAAAATTTAGAAAGGTCACACAAAATAAGGAGGTTTGCTTTCCCACACTGATAGTCACAAGGCGCTAACGCTGTGACGATCCCAACCACCTCTTCTTTCTTTCGAGGATAGATCGGCCGGGCCTTCTCAACGTGGGACACATTGAAAAAATGCAGGAGGGCATCGTGCACGTGCTCAAACTTCACCTGCAGAGCAACCATCCAGACAACATCTTCCTCTTCCCAAAGCTCCTGCAAAAAATGGCAGACCTCCGGCAGCTGGTCACCGAGCACGCGCAGCTCGTACAGGTCATCAAGAAGACGGAGTCTGATGCCGCCCTGCACCCGCTGCTGCAGGAAATCTACCGGGACATGTACTGACGGCTGCGAAGCGAACGGCGAAGCGCGCGGCTCTCCGAGGGTCTTTCCGAGGCGACAGCCCTACCACGCGAGAAGCGGGAGCCATGCCCACTTTGCACAAATTCCTCCGTTCTCACCTTAGAGAAGGGGACGAAAGCTCTGGTAACCGGAACCCTAGTCCGCATTTCTCTCTCTCTCTCTCTTTTTCTTTCACACCAGGACTTCTCAGAGCGTGCCAAGTACTGAAAAGCTGGTGACAAGTGGCTAAGATGCAGTTCTTGGGAAGTCAAGGGGAGTGACGCGCAGCGGTCTGGCTTTGACTCACCCGGTGTTAGTGCAGATTTCTTCATGTCGCGTTAGCAGTTTACTGTCGGATTAACTGGTGACCTCGACATACGTGGTCGGCCTCTTCTTTTCCCCACCTTTTGACTCTTGTGCTCCTGTATCGTTTTGAAAACTAATCGGCACTTTTTAACTTTTATGATCCTGTAAATCTAGAGGAACCCAAAGGTTAGGTATGTAAAAAGCGGTAAAATATTTATTGGGAAAGTGTTAATTCTGTGTCCCGCGTTTGAGGAAAGACAGCATGCTGGTTTTTAATCGGAGGATTTAAAGTTTCCGAGATATGCCTGATAAGCCATCGGGATGCAGCGGCCGGTTGGTTTTCGCTGTCTTTGTGGTTGTAGCTAGTGCGCAGCAAAGGCCCGTTTCCAGGTTTGTGTGGAAGATCCCAGGAAGCCACGTCCCAAGACCGCCCCTGGGCTTGACGGCCTGC